TATATAGTATCTATACAATATATCTATACCTATATCTACAATACCTCAAGAAACGTGACAGTAGATTTGAGAAGAATCTTTAAAATACATTTTTGTATGTAAAAAAATCGGTTTAATAGGTATAATTGCAGGTTTTGTTAAAAAAAATTTGAATACTTTCAGTACTTCAGATGCATTACTAGTATAACTAAAAGAGTATTTTCGATTTACGCCGAAAAGAAAAGATAGCTTTCGTTGATGATCGTTCTCTTCTCTAGATTCTCTTCTCTAGATAGTCTAATTTTTGCCAATATTTTAAAATGAAACCACGAGTTTGTTCCATATTTGTGCCATTTCTGACATTATTTCTTATCAGTATTGGACATGGCCCTATGTCTGCTGCTATTGCCAGAGAAAATGTGCAAGCTTTATGGCCAAACGAGAAATGGTGTTATATTAGTGGCGATCACTGCCTACATTAACCCTTGAATGCCTCGAATTGATTGGATCTAAAAGTATGCAATGCAAATACAAATGCTGGACAATTGCCAAGTGAAAGTAAATACGTAGGGGGAGAGATAGCAAAGGTTATCAACGAGTCAGTTTATGATGAAGATGGGTAGTGCAGTTTATAGAAATATTGTTCTAGAAATTGATTCAAGTATCTGAGGATATAGTAATGGGTTTTTACAGACAGACAGAGAGAGAGAGAGAGAGAATTTTACACTACAGCTGATAAAGCAGGCCTAAGGAATATGAGGGATTACCATGGAATTCCACAAACAATGCCACTCAGATCCAATTCAATGTACAGAGCACCACTGTAGATCTAAAATTAAATCCATTAATTTCCTATCCTTTCCAACTTTAGGCTCAATCCCAGGTGTACAGGAAGAAGATCCACGACCTGGAATCGAAGATCACTAAGCTGGTGTCAGGTAAATAGATACCAATCAATAAAAGAATGCAAATACTTATGGTAGAACCCCCACCCCCTCCAGGCACGTCCAGTCTGCAGAGTTTAGCCCCCCAAGCAGCACCACCCACCTCAGACGAAGCAGAGGAGAGCCCACTAAGGGAGCTGATCACCCAACTGCAGGACAAGTTGAGTGCCCAGAAGCAGGAGACTGAGGCCCGCCTGGCCGAGCAGCTGGAGGAAGAGCAGCGGCTGCGGGAGAACCTTAAGTACCTGCAAGAGCAGAATGTCATTTTGCAGGCTGAGCTGGTAGCCAAGGATGAGTCGCTGGAGAAGTTCTCTCTGTCGCAGAGCGGCATCGACAATCTGCGCCGGGAACTGGCCCTGCTCAAGGAGGAGAACGACAGGCAGTCGCAGGAGGCCCAGGCGCTCTTTGACCAGAAGCTGGCGGCCAAAGCGGAGGAGCTGGCGCTAGTCGCCGGGCAGCTACAGCAGCTCAAGAGTGCCTCCGATTCGATGATGAGCCAGCGGGCCAACATGTCCGAAGAGTGCCAGATCCTGCAGATGGAAATCCGCATGCGGGACGAACAGATCAAGGAGCAGCGCCAGCAGGTGGACGAGCTAACGACTCAGTTGAATGTGCAGAAGGCGGACAACTCCGCCCTGGACGATATGCTCAGGCAGCAGCAGGCGAGCGCCGAGGAGAGAGGCGTTCAGCTACAGAAGCGCCTCGATGAGCTCAAGCAAATAAAGGAGGCTATGGAGAAGCACGAACAGCAGACGCAGAAAATGGAGCACAAGCTGTCTGAGGTTAGGCAATTGGCGGATCAGGAGAAGCTCAAGCAAGAGCAAAGTCTGACGGCCATCAAGCAACTCGAGCAGTTTAAATCCTCCATGGAGGAGCGGCTGGCCGCCAAGCTGTCCGAGCTCGAGGAATGCCGAAGAGAGCTGATCGAGGTGCAGTCCAAGCTCAAGGAGACCAGCCAACTCAATTCCGAAAAGGATTTTCAGCTAAGCGAGTCCACAGAGACGCTATCCCAACTCAGGATGGAGCTGGAGAAGAAGTCCGAGGCATACGAAACCCTGCTGGCGAACTTTGCATTGCTGAGGACAAGCCACGAATCGACTGTCGGGCAAAATGAGCTGGAGCTGCAAGCTGTCCAAGCGCAGTTGGACACAAAGAAAGAGGCCTTGAAGACGGTCGAGGACGAGCTGAAGCAACTTCAGCAGCAGGTGGCAGAGTCCGATAAGGAGGGCAACGTGCAGTTCGCCGAGCTGGAGGAGAAGATCTCCGAGCTGAATGTGCAGGCAAGGAAAGCTGCGGCAGCTCTCGCCTCCAGCCAGGCGGAAGTAGACTCCAAGAACAGGCAGCTGGAAAGTACAAATGCCGCCCTGGAGAAAATTAACAAAGTAAAGATCTCCTCTAAGAAGCTCAAGAATCATTTTTAATATATGTTTTTTTCCGCAGGACTATGCGGAATCTCGAGCAGAGGCTTCGCAGTTGGAAGAACGTCTCCAGCAAATCTCTGAGCAGCTTCAATCTGAGCTGCAGGCTGAAAGATCTTCGTCGACCGACCTTCACATGAAGTTGACAAAATTCAGTGAGCAAATGGCCAGCGGCCAGAAGGAGCTGACCAGCAAGGCCGATGCCTGGGGCCAGGAGATGCTGCAGAAGGAGCGCGAGATTCAGGATCTGCGCCAGCAGCTGCACTCCAGTCAAGAGGCTCTGGCCAAGCTGAAAGCGGAGTCAGAGCAGCGGGAAGGAGCGCTGGAGGAGTCCATCCGGCATCTGAAGGAGGAACTGGCCAAGATCCAGGCGGACCAGCAGCAGTTGAGCAGCGGCACCCAGGAGACCATCAAGGAGCTAAAGGAGCGCCTGGAAATCACAAACACGGATCTCCAACACAAGGAGAAAATGGCCCAGGAAGACGCACAAAAGATCAGCGACCTGAAGACCCTGGTGGAGGCCATTCAGGTGGCCAATGCCAATATATCCGAAACCAATGCAGAGCTGTCCACGGTGCTGGAGGTGCTCCAGGCGGAGAAGAGTGAAACGAACCACATCTTCGAGCTGTTCGAAATGGAGGCGGACATGAATGCCGAACGTTTGATCGAGAAGCTAACGGGCATGAAGGAAGAGCTGAAGGAGACGCATCTCCAGCTGGAGGCGGCACAGAAGAAGTGCAAGGAACTGGAACTCAAGCTGCAGCAATGGAATGAGAGCGATCAGCAACTACATGCAGAGCTCCTGATAGCCACAGAGCAAATGCGTGAGCTGGAGCAGGCAAGGATAGAGCTGCAGAAAACTATAGAATTGAAAAACCTGCACTCCGCAGATCTGGAGGTAAAACAAAAGAAATCCGACACCCAGTTGGACGCTCAAAGGATATCCATTAAGGAGCTGGAAGCGAAACTCGAAGAGGCCCATGAGGCGCTTAGCAAATTCCAGGCGGATGTCGTCAAGTCCGTGATGGCACTGCAGCAGTTGCAGAAGGACAATGAACAACTTGAAGGCTCTCTGGCAAAGAAGAAAGAACTCGTTAAAGTATTGGAGGCAAGACTAGCTGAAACCACGGTCCAGTTGGATACCCAACAGGCTGAGAACAAGGAACTCCTGCGGAAACTCGAACAGACCCAGCAAAAGGAGGGAGTCCTACAGGAAGCCACGACAGAACAACTCCAACAGCTAAAACAAGCCAAGGGAGAGCTGCAAGACGCCCTAAACAAGAAAGACAGCACAGTAAAAGAGTTAGGGGCAGAACTAAAGGAAACCAAATCCCAGTTGGACAGCCAAAGAAGTTCCCTCAACGAGCTCCAGGATAAGCTTGAAAAGGCCCAGCTGAAGGAGAGGAATGTTCAAGAGGAGGTCCTCAAATCAGCCGAGCAACTGCGTCAACTCCAGCAGGCCAACGAGGAGCTGCAAACGTCCCTACAGCAAAAGCAAGGTCTTCTGGAAAAGGGCAACGAATTCGATGCCCAGCTGTCGGAATACCAGAAAGTCATCGACGAGATGGATGACTCGGCCAAGAATAAGTTCCATGAGGTGGAAGTGCTCCAAAAGAGAGTCCATGAACTGGAGGCAGCGCTGCACAAGGCCAATGAGTACCAAAAGACAGCGATCCTCGAGTCTAAGCAGATGAGTCGCCAGCTGGAGACCATCGAACGGGAAAAAACCCGGGAGATTCTGGCCCTGAGGGCGCAGGTCAACGGAGCGTCGCCCAGAGTGGTAGTGGGGGATCAGCCCGAGGTGCGTTCTCTTTTCCCTATATCCCATAAAAACTATTTATTTGAAGATCCTTCCCTTGCATGCAGACGGAAAACTCACAGGCCAAGATCAACTTCCTGAACTCCATCATAGCGGATATGCAGGAGAAGAACGATGAGCTCAAGGCCAAGGTTCAGGCGCTGGAAACGCAGCCAATGGACTTCACCAAGTGAGTGTTCCTACATCTTATGGATTCAATGATGTTCTACATATATGCAATTCTGTTCCTTGCTTACAGACCACATGCCTTTGATATAATTACTAAGCGTAAGCCGGCGCCGCGTCTCTTTTGCGACATTTGTGACGAATTCGACAAGCACGAGACCGAGGACTGTCCGATCCAGGCTAGTGAAGATCGGGATTTCTCGCCGCCGCCGACCAGCGAAACAAACAATAATGAGAAAAAGGAACGACAGCTGCCGGCCCCACGGAAATACTGCGAGAGCTGCGAAGGTGAGTGCTTGCCAAAGGGAAATCCTATATCCAAATTAAGGAAACTTTCTTTGCATTGCAGTCTTTGGCCACGACACCAGCGAGTGCGCTGATGAAGATACCTATTAGTCATAGAACAATTTCCGAGCAACCCGTATATATGTATGTTTTGTTTTTTCGCCCCCTAAACGATCCGATAGAGATAACTTTTACCTCAGCAGAGCTTCAAACTCTCGGAAGAGACAATTGTCTCCCAGGCTGCGATGTAGCGTTTTATCAAAATTTTAATTTGTCTACATTTATTTTATATGTGTATGCTACGTACGCTTAGTGCAAATTCCTTTGGTTGTTTTCGTAAACTTTTCGAGTGTAAAAATAAATTATTTTAAAATGAAAGGCAGACGACCGTTGATATTTATTGTTTTTTATTGCTAAAGGTACATACATTCCGAAGAGCTATAACTAATCGCCACCCTCCTTCTTCTCCTTGATGGCGTCCTGGAAGAGAATTTAAATAATTAATATTTGATACTACAAGAAGATACACTACAAGAAGGTAGTCGATATAATTTGTTTGGGTAATTTCTACCACGAAATGAATTGCCTTAGTATGAAGTGAAATTAACCAATATACGGATTACAGAATATTGGTGCCGTGCCTCTAGCTCCCAACAGACATGTTCTCAAAAAGTTGTATTGATAGAAGTTAAATAAGCAGAACGCTTATAGATATTGGTTTAAACCAATAGAGATCTGCTCGTATATGGTCTATGAGGTGGGACCGCTTTCTAAAGGCTTCTTTTGCCCTATATTCCTATGAAGTGCTGCAAAAACTCACTTTAAAACGCTCTTCAAAAAGGGAGAGCTCGGCTAGCAGATCGGTAATAGCATTCATGAAGGCCTCTTGCGGCGAATATTCGGCCGTGGTCTGGATGCGTATGACGAACTTGTGCTCCAGGGGATGGGGCACCTTGTAGCCGGCAAACAAGACATTGGGATCCTTCAGCAGCTGACTGCAAAATATAAATATGCACTTTAATAATGTTAGGCAATGGAATGGTGCTATACCGACTTGCGGATCATGTTGCCCAGTGTGTGATCCTCCTTATTGATGGTAAAAATAGCCGCATTCGTAACTTTTGTGTCCAGCTCTTTGATGATTCTGCAAAAGCGCCAAAACGGCAAGAAGAATGATGCACTGGTGTCCCTGCATTGGTTTTCCAAAGATACTCACTTCTTCTCGCCCTCGTACAGCAGGAAAGATTCGAATGTTGGTGGCGCATTCATTTTATATGCGTTTCTATCTAGTTTTTAGTCAAATTTGTAATTTGTTTATGAAAAAATCAGCCGCACGCCAAATGCGTATGTCCAGTGTTGGTAAAGTACTAAAAAAAATGTATTAGTAAAAATCTGACTATTTAAGGAGGATTTATTTTCTAAAACTGTGTGCAAAACTTCCACGAAAAAAAAGTGGGAGCTCTCGGCTCTCTGCTGTATGAAAATAAAAGAGTTATTTTTACTTCTTAACATTTTCAGCACTGATACGGTCAGCTACCGATAAACGCTGAGCTATCGATAGCTATCGCTCGGCGAATCGCTTTAGCCCACATCTCTAGTTCTTCAATTATTTGCAAATTTTTGTACAACAACGCGCCAATGGCGCTGCATTCACATAGTTTCTAACTTACATCAGTTTGCAACATTAAAAGATATCATTTGAAGTGTTTGGGCAGCAAAATGAGCGACACGAACGCCACAACAACTGACGCCGAGGGCGAGGAGGTTAATACACTCGAGCAATCGACAATAACCATGGTCGACGTTCTCGAGCAGGAGAAGGAAATGGAAGACGAGTACGCCGCGGTGTTGGGCGCCTCCGATGAAAAGGCCTGCACCTATGCCAAGGGTCCCATTCAGCGGCAGGCCCTGTACTCCTGCCTCACCTGCTGCCCCGAGGCTCGCACGGATCTGGCCAAGTGCGCTGGCGTCTGCCTGGCCTGCTCCTATCGCTGCCACGAAAACCACGAACTGGTGGAGCTCTACACCAAGCGGAACTTCCGCTGCGACTGTCCGACACTGCGGCTGGGCGCAGTCAAGCGCTGCTGCCTCAATCCTCAGCTGGAGGGACCCCAGCCGTCGAACGATGGAAATCTTTACAACCAGAATTTCCAAGGATTGTACTGCCAATGCAAGCGTCCGTATCCGGATCCAGAGCGCACCACCGAGGAGGTGATGCTGCAGTGCGCAGTCTGCGAGGACTGGTACCATTTGCCACACATGAAGGCGCCCGGGGCATCTGAGAAGATGCTCGATTCGTGCAGCGAAATGATCTGCGACACTTGCATGGATAAGAATCAGTTCCTGCGCGACTACACTGCCCTGGCACTGCAGGCAGTCGAAGCCGAAGAGTCCAAAGCAGATTTAAAAGCGGATAAAGTCCAGGTCGACGCCGAAGCTGATTCAAAGCCTGAGCAGACAGAGGAGCCCGCTAGCAAGCGTGTCAAGCTCTCAACTGGGGATTGTCGTCGCCCAAATCCGACAAAGAAACACCAGGGTAAGTGCATGCCCCCAAAAACAATAAACATTTAATCAGAAAAACGCTCTCAACTCTCAATACATGAAAAGCAAATCGGAATTCTTCTTGCCATCGCCCAAGTACAAGAATCCGTGCTTGTGAGAGGTGATCTTGTGGAAGAAGGTCATGCCCAGCCAGAGGCACGACTTGATCACGACCAGACGCTCGTTTCGCTGCAAGTTTAGGGCAAAGGCCTGTCCAAGCGGAATCACGCAGTCAATCGTGTCCAGGAAGTCAATCGGATAGTTGTAGTCGCTTCGCTTCGATAGGTTCACCTTGAGGTCGTTACGGGGCAGACGATAGAGCTGGTAGAAGGATTGGTTGTCCACCTGCAAGTTGTCCAGCCCGCGAAACATTTGATTGGGTATAACGCGGCCGTCTGTCATCTTGTAAAGGGCACCGCGCGGGCAGACGGCGCACTCCTCGGTAATGATAAACACAATGGCGGCCAGGCGCTCCTCCTCCTTCAACTTTACCACCTCGGGGCGACTGATGGCCACCACATGATTGCCCACAATCTCAAATGTGGGATCCTATCGGACAGTCGTTCATAGTTAAACTACAATTTGACTCCCCTCCTCCGGTTTACACTCACCAACTTTACGTAGGTCATCAGACTGGGATCGCCAACGAAAGACTCGCGGGCCAGAGTGGTGGCCTGAAAAATCTTCGGACTCTGGACGAAGGGCAGCAGCTGCCACTGAAACTGGTCGAGGCTGTAGAAGTATTTTCGATCCTTTAGACAGTCATTGGTGTAGCCAAAGGCAATGTAGTAATCCTGCTTGGTGGCCGTGATGCGACCCCACAGATACATGCCCGAGAACCGATTGTCGTTCTGCAAAGCGATCAGCGAGTTCTCGATGAGGATGCGCTGCTCCGGCGATAGCTTTAGGCCGCAGTACATCAGGCAGTCCATGCCCTCAGAAAAGTACTCCAAATTCATTTTTTTGTTTTTTGGAGTTGGAAAATTTCAATAAAATACTTATGTTATGTTAGGGATAGAGCCAAGAGTTGGTATAGGTATAATGAATTCCCAGGCAGGGCTTGCTTGATCGAATACATTTTGTAAGCCTATTCCGTTTGCCCTTTCCAGGTGCCGCCTTCTGGACCAACGACTGGCGCAAATCGCTTTGCAAGTGCACCGAGTGCCTGGCCCTCTTCAAAGAGTTTGCCGTGGAGTTCCTTTTGGATGCCGATGATTCGGCCAAGGCATACGAGGAGCGCGGCATGAAACGTGCCGAGGAGAACTCCAGCTACGAGCAGGGCATGCGGGCCTTGTCCTCGATTGACCGCACCCAGCAGATCGATGCGATTACCGAATACAATCGCATGACCGATAAGCTGAAGGATTATCTAAAGGGTTTTGCCTTGAGAGACAAGGTCGTCACCCCAGAGGACATTAATGTTTTCTTTACTCGAATGCGCGACGAGAACAAGCCCAGTGTCGGCCAGCCGCATTTCTGTCGCTAAATTGGTGTCCGGTCGCTATTGCCAGATAAAGACAGACATATTTAAGCTATATTGATCAGTTATAGTATTACCACACATTCCCCAATACATCATCCGTGTAACATCATAAATTACAGTTTATTTCACATATTATTACTATTTTAATGGATTCATTTTGTCATTAAAAATTACTCGAAACGAAACAAGCCATCGGGCAATGAGATTCGCATATCCCTCTCTCTCTCTCTCTCTATATATAAAATCTATGTACAATCTGCTCAAACAGAGGTCCATATTGGCTGCATAGTTGGATTATGTTCTCTGGCTTGGTTCCCCTGCATAACAACCGTCTTACAACATAGCTCTATTGATGGTTAAGAATATATATAACATACAGACTAATAATTATTGTAATGATTGTTCATTTGCATGGCTCCAGCGCCAACTCCTCCTACTCCTCCGCCTCCTCCTGTTAGACCCAAACTGCTGAGCGTCTCCTCCATACCTTGCATTAGTTCGTTGGTATCTATTGACCCCAGGTCCATAAACGTGCTGGATATCAGATCGCTGAAGGATTGATTCTGTCCCTCCAACTGGGGCTGAGGCTGAGTCTGCTGCGGGTATTGCTGATTCTGCAGTAGCTGCTGTTGTTGCAGGTGCTGCTGCTCTGGTTGTGTTTGTTGCAGGAAGTTTGGCGCAGGCTGAGACTCTTGGGCGAGGTATCGCTGCTTGATGGCCTGATCCATTTGTTGTGGCGGCGTTATAGACGGTGGGTTCATTGTCCCCAGCTTGAGACTCAAAAAGTTATTGTTGATCATGTTGTTGCTGTTGGTGTTGTTGTTGATTGGTGTCATGGAGCCACCGCTGAAGCCTGTGGGACTGCAGCCATTCCTCGCATAGCTCGCAGGCTCCTGCAGGGTCGTACCCATATCCAGGTTCTGATAGAGATTATTGTTTGGCCCGATTCTCATTGGCGGAATGCCGTCCGTTGTGCTGCAGGTAGAGCGTGGAGAGGGGAAGTTGTAGTCCACCGAGGCGAACTGACTGCTGCGACTGTCCACATCCATATAGGGGTACTCCACCTTAATCTCGTGCATAAAGTGCGGGCTGCCTCCCGCGTACATCATACCCATGCCGGGTGACACATGTGGCGCCGGGGCGGTCGTCATCGTTATCTGCGGCGGCTGGACCACTGAAAAGGACACCCACAACAAAAAAGTAGAAGGTTTTAACAACATGTGGCAGACCTTGGTATTAGGTTACAATGAAACGAAAGGTTAATGAACGCACCACGGCTATGGGGCTATACGGCTATAAGCATTTACATAATTGAGGCGAAACCGAGGCAGAACTAAAGCAATTTGGAGCAACTTAAAAAGGACACAAAGGCAAACCACAACATCAACTTGCTTGGGCGGCAGGCAGCGGGCAAAACTTACTGTCTGTCTGTCATCAGACGTCCGTTCCATTTCGGTGCTGTGCCAGAGACGAAAGCTAGGGGGAAAGCTAGATGGGAAGTAGCAGGAAAAGAAATACCAAGAAATTCGCCCTCTAATGTCCTTAATGCCCACAACGGACGAAACTTTTTTTCAAACGAACCTTTTCTTATGATAGATTGAACAGAAATAGATGGGGAATATGGGAAAACGTTTGGGTCGAACAAAACCGATTTTGGAGACCCATAGAAATAGAGATAAAGAAGATGTGTCTTCAAAGAATGGGTTTCTGAAACAAACTTTTTTTTATTGCTTCTGATTATAACCAGGCAAAACAGATAAACAGACACTTGAACATTGAAATGTTCTAATCGATTTTGGATAGATACTCGGTACAAGATCTCTATTATATTTAAAGAACCCAAAACATAAAACTCCTCGATATATTCGAAACACGAATGAACATTGAAAAGATTAAACTTTGTAATAATCATAAAATTAGTAATGAATTTTCCAAATAATATCTGGATTTTAACACCAAACATTTGTTTATTCATCAAATTTAAATACAATATGAATGTGTAGGACAAATATCATCAACCTGGTCGGCCCACAACCTCAACGAATTCAAATCCATACCAAAAATATCCGACAAATCCTAAAATTTCCAACGACAATTCAACCTATTGGTCCACAAGGTATCAGCTATATTTGCTTACATATTATATGTGTTATATGTATGTATGTTATATGATCTATAAGCTCTAAACCATTTTTCATCTACTCGAAATGTCGATCGTTTAATGAGTGTGCGCGTGTGTATGTGTGTGAGGTGTTTATAGGAACTAAATAGATGTAAATAGAGAGTATGATCTCGAAACCTAAACCAGCACCAGTAAATGGAAATGCGAGAGAGAACTTACAGGACGTTTTGGGCTGCTTGGGACTCTGATGGAAATCGGAGAAATCGCTGCTCATGAGATTCCTTTTAAGGGTCTCAACGGTTTTGCGCGCCACCAGACGATTGTGCTGGGTTAGGTTTTCTATAAAGATATATTCGGATAGGACGATTAATGTTTTTTGTTCGATTCGGTTCTGTGTGTTCTCATCGGTGACTAAACTATTAAGTGGGGGAGGTAGGGATAAGATAAGCGTTAATTAATACTGAAAAAAGAAAACGACTAGAAAATATCCATAGTTCTGCTCTGATTTTGTTTTGTTTTGTAGTCAAACTATTGTAGTTTTTGTGCGGTTTCGGGTAACTGATTTGGTTTATATTCGGGGGTGTTCAATGGCTTTCTTGAAGGTTTGATACAACCCAAAAGGGCTCCGAAAAACTTCAAAAATGATGTCTGCTCTCAGGTACCAGGTTTTTAGATTGGAGGGATACAAGTTGATGTCTTGGTCGCTGTGGGGTTTCTCCCTTTTCTTGCATTTAATTTTAAAAAATACAAACGCAAAGTGGTGATCCCAGTATTGTTCTCTTCGTAGGATACAGTCAATCAAAACTTAAAGATGAGTTCTCTACTCTTACAGAACCCTTTTCCATCGAACCCTCGCATCAGTTACCCGAAACCCCGCTTTGTCCCCCCGCCTATGCTTCACTGTAAGCCATTGGCCTCGGCCAGACGTCGCGCTATCTCGTCAGCACTGAGGAAATCCGTCGCCTCCGCCCCGCCAGGACCATCATCGGCACCAGCTCCCGCCTGGTCCGCACCAAATGGCGGCTCCGGGGACTTGCTGGTGTAGAGAGCAAAGTGCTCGGCCTCGGAGAGATCCACGCTGGGATCGAGGACCACGCCGTAGGCTCCCTCGCACAAGTTCCGGATGCTCTGGCGATCGGCAATGGCCACCAGTTCCATGTTGCCGTCGCTGATGGGTATGTCGGCCAGCTGCAGTGTGCTCAGGGTCTTCCGGTCCAGCGGTCGACCATAGCTGAGGGTGCTAGCGTTCGAGTAGCTCTCGGGCCGGAGCAGGCTGTTCTCGCTGTCGCCGCCCTTCAGGGGTATGTGGATGACATCGGCGTCCAGGTAGGCGGGTCGCTTGCCCGAGACACTGCTCGAGCTGCGGCCCACGGGACGGCCACTGCGACCAGAGTTGCTCGGCGGCTGCATGGAGCGGCTGGAGCTTCGGTTGGGATCGCCCAGGGCAAAGTGCGCCACACTCGGCTCCCTACTGCCGGTGGGTGTGCTGGCCTGCCTGCTGGGACTTCCGGCCACCGTGAGGGAGGACCCTTCCTCCTCCTCGGCCTTGCTCTTGCGGCGTGAGAAGAAGCGCGAGAAGAATCCCTGGCGCTTCTTGGGCGAGCCACTCGGCGTCGACGTCGGCTGGCGTTTGGTGGGGCTCTGGTCGGGCGTGCGCATTATGATGATGGGCGAGGGCGTGGTCCTGGCGGAGCTGAGGCTCCCGTTGCGCGACCGATTGATCGAACCATCGCTGACAATGCTCAGATCCTGGGAGTTCCTCTGTGGCTTCGGTGGCAACGGCGGCAGACGATGATCGGGATCCGGCGACGGTGTACGCGGCGGCAGCTGGGGCAGTGTGGGCGAGGGGGGCGTGGCCGGGGTCTGGGCCGCGTTCACTTTGATCCTCGGCGCTGGGGGATTCGTCAGCACCACCAGCTCGTCCTCATCCATCTGGCTGAAGGGATTGGTGGCGGCGTATGTCTGCCTGGAGGAGGCACAGTCCCTGGGTATGTCCACCGGATTGTTGAAGGCTATCTGCAGGCTCGTGTACGTGGCCGTCTCATCAAAATTCTCATCGATATCCACCGAGGCCTGGGCGCTGGCCGACTCGGGTTCTTTGTGCCCCTCCTTCTCCCCTTCCACTTCCTCTTGAGGTTGAGGTGCAGCACCTCCATCGGCTTCGGGCAGCTCCTTGAGTGCCGGATTCTCTAGGGTATCCCTGCGGGAGCCAGCTCCCTCGTCCGCCCCCTCCAGCTCGTCCAGCTGGTTCGTTATGGTCGTGTTGGCCGTCAGGCTGCTGACATTCGTGAAGGCCGTCTGGGCGGTGCTGTTCGAGAGGGTGGGCGTGTCCCCGTTCTCCACGGTCAGGCTGTCCGTCCGCTCAAACTCGCTGCTCTTCATCCACTCGGTGATCTTGTCCACGTTGTTGAGGGGACGCGTCTGCAGCTGCGGATGCTGCAGGATCTCCTCCATGGGCGTCGAGGTCTGGGTGCAGTCATCGGCCAGCTGGGGCAGCAGCTGCGGCACCTCCAGCTCGATCTCCATGTCCGGTTCGTTGTCGTTGTCCGTGTACTCCGTCATTGTGTTGCCATCCGCATCGTGCGACTCTCCGCGATGCTGCAGGTGCATCAGCTGCTTTTTGACAGCGATCTCAAAGTCGTTGAGGGTGCCCGAGCTCGGCTGATCGTCCGAGGAGACCGTGTTGTTCTCGTCCTCGTTGAGATCGAGCGGTGGACACGAATACTTGGTGGCTGTCGTCTCGCTATCTAGGGAAAGTATCTGCTGGAACACGTCCATCTCCTGCTTACGCTTCAGCTTTCGCTGCAGCCGGGCAAAGGTTACTATACCTGGATTCGGGTAGTACTCGAACTGCAGCGGGGCGCTCGTCGCTCCATCCGAGGGTCGCACCAGCTTGAGCTCCACCTGCAAGACATTACGAAATAGAAAGTAGAATCCATCCATGGCTTCTGGTTCGAAAATATCCTCACATTAACACTCTGTGTGATCTCTGGATTCCTGTAACGCGGCGTCTTGAACGCAATCGCCATCTGCTTGAACACATCCGTGGGCTGGAACTCCGCATTGGCGTGCCACAGCTCCCGGCCATCGTCGTCCGTCTCGTAGAAGCGTATCTCGATGTCGTCCTTGGAGATCTTCTCGCAGAGCATAATGATCTCATCGCCGCCACTCACCTTGGCCGAGCAGCTGCACAGGCGGCTGATTGTCAGCTCGTTGCTCTTGCCGTAGATCGGGGAGGAAACGATGGGATCCAGGGCCACGCGGGTGTTTCCGACTGTGATGAAGGCCTGGTAGCAGAGGCGCAGCTCGTACCGATTGATCTTATCGATTTGGTCTTTGTGATCGAATTTGGCTGCCATGAGGAAGAAAAGGAGATACTTGTAGTGCAAATTCAGGCTTTAATCTCAATCTCTATTGAGGTTTACCCACCCCCAAAGGGATCCACATTCTTTCGCTCCCGTTCCAGCAGGGACTCGCGCATCTCCAGTTTCTTGGCGCACTGGATGCCCACTTTTTGGAGCACCAGACGCCGCTCCTCCGGCGGCAGCCGTTTGGCGTACACCCCCGACTTGCAGGAGTCGGCCTCCTCCTTGCTGACCAGCCAGTGCGGGTGCTGGCGGTAGGGCTCGTCGCTGGTCACGCACGAGACGACCACGGTGACGGGGCCGTTGTAGTCGCACACCTCGATGGTGGGGAAGGTCTTGCCCGTCTCCGTGCTGGTGCTCATGCCCGGTATGGAGCCAGCCGTGCGTCCTTCGCACTTGTAGCGAAAGCGGATTATGTTGTTCGTTGGCTCCTCGATGATGCGGAGGTGTGGACCCGTCTTGGTGCTGGCCTTCGGTCCTGTCGTCGTCTTCTTGGGTGTCGGTGTCTGGTTCTGTATCTGGCCCAGCGGCATGGGCGATGGCATCACCGGCAGGGACGTGGACTGATGAAATACCTGAGGCATATTTACACCGCCTCCTGCACCGCCGTTCACCTCCAGGCTGGCATTGATAATGTCCTCTACGGATGGGGGCAGCGAGCAGCGGGCAGGTGGCAGGTGGCAGGTAGAGGGTGTGTGCAATGGAAAATAACATGAAAATCAATAAGTCAGAATGCCAGAAACAATTTAGTGCAAGAACTAGAACATGATGGGACAACTTCGGACGGGACCGAAGCTTCAAAGGGCTTGCGAAACTCTAGGAAAACTTTACTTTCCCTCTGTCAGAGGAAATATGTATTAGACCCATGCGGAAAACTTATCGTGTGATTCCCTTTGAGTATTGAACGACAGACTACCATTTGGACTCTGTTTTTGTATAATCCAGGACTCTATTCTGTTCCCTCTGCAGGTGACAAAGAGCATACACTGCGTATACGTAATGTACAGTAAACAGTAGATACTTTTGTATCTATCAGAGACACGCTCGCCATTATGCAAACGCGTTCGTAACGTTACGTATGTGTGGGTGGGCAGGGCACTAGATAGCTATTGTTTTCGAAGGGGTCAGGATGGACTGGAGTTTCGTTTCGCTATTTCTACTTGTTATGCCCAGATGGGACTCCGATGACGAGGACGAGTTCTGACGTCAAATGCTGGACAGACTGGATGCCACTTTGGATCGTTTTGCCGCACGCACCAAGCCGCTGGCACTAGCATCGAACAATGTTCAATTAGCCACTAAAAATTCCCCACAAATCGGATGCCAATACCCCATGCCCATGCCCTGGCCTAATTAGGCGCATTGTCGATTGACTTATGCCTCCAGATTGTTCATTAGCCAGCCAGCACTCTTCTCGGGCAGGGCAGTGGTGGGATTAAGAGTATATGCTCCATGTTTATATTAATTAGGATTAGAACAACTAGAGTGTGTGAGATGTGCCATAAATTGATGGCCTGGCTGTTTGTACATACGTAAATCGCCAAAGAGCTCCTCCTCAGCCATTGGATGCTGCTGTTGCTGTTGATTGCCTGCAAATAAAACCAATGATAGATTGCCATTAATTTTTCCATATATGATGACTATCCATTCCCATTTCCCACCCAATGCAATGATTTGTACATAATGATAGATTAGCATTAAATGCCAAAACATACTGTATCGATATTGGTGCGGACTTGGGATTGATGAGCTTGAAACATCGATGCCTATGAATTATTTATGTACTATAATACACAGCTTTAATTGCAAGTGTTTTGAATTCTCTTGTGCCATAAGGTGTAGAAGATTCTTCGTAAAAGTATGAGTATACGAAGAATTGATTATAATAAATGGAATTCCACAGATGGCAACAGATCAAAGCGGTTGGAAACAAGCAAATCATACGAATATTACTATTATTGCTTCCACTTGGAAGTAGGGAAATAAAACTTCATAAATTAGCTGTCATGAATTCTGGAGAGTTTTATTACTGTTGGCGGTAAGCCCCCAAACATTTTGAATGAGCCCAACACACGATCGGCTGTGGGCAATCAAACCAACTGATTTATGTCCCATATGTGAAACGTTTCAGTATCTCTGTACTTTTTTGCTTTGCCAAAAACACCTACAATCGTTCTGATAACGAAATCTGATGTTAAGGTTGACAATCAGAAGATGGCCTTTAAAAGAAATCTATTTACATGACCTCAGAGGTCTCGTTGACAACATTCTTATCAGCAATGTTGAACTTTGAGCAAATGCAAATCGATGTCTAGGGAAAGCCTGTCAAATCTTACGAACTACAACCCGTAACGGGTTGGGCGAGGCATGTCATTCGTTTAATCGTAGACTTTATTGGTTTGATAAAAATAGAGGTACAAAATGTAGTAGATTCTTGGAAAAGATAGCCAAGTTGTTGCCCCAACAAAAACTTTATCATTTTTAGGACTTTCGGCAGAGATATTACTTTTAAATTCTTAGAAAAAGTTCGTTTTGTGGAAAGCACTTTAGCATAAGTGCATACGCACGCGAAAGGTCGTTGCTATAGCATTAAATGTGTGCGGAAGCCAGGTGTTCAAAGAGCCAAGAACTCAGTTGCAGTTTAACCTTTTGTTTGGCTCATTCTGGCTATACTAATAATGCGAATGCAATTCTTTTTGTCCAATCTAGTAGATATGAACCTTCTTGATGATGCTGCAGTTTCGGTTTTCTTGTAGCTTCAAAATTGAGTATGAAACGAGTACCCTGTATGGCTAGCAGTCCCAGCCAGCTGCCTTCTCTCTTCCTAAGAGATTAATTCATCTCAATTTGTTATATTTCTTATCCGATTGTATGTAAATTATGTACATATATCCATATTGTTTCATTGTTCTGTCATGATTAATTTATAAAATAAAGAGTACATATTTCATTATTCTTGTCAGCCAACAGCTTATAGTCTGAGCTCTCCTTCGCTTTCTTTTTCGTGTGGTTCTTCTCTATAATGTAAGCAGATAGTAGGGCCCCATCCTAACGACTTCCTATGCGGCTTTTCCTCATATCCACTCTCCTGTTTTGTTGTGTAAGCCGCACCGATCAAGGTTAATAACAATGACTGTGCATAGTAATGTGTATTTAATAGTCGTTTCCATAAAAAGGCCAAACCGGCTACTGGCCCCCCTTTCAGCTCTCTCCCTCTTTCCGGCAAGTGCAGCCAACATATGGCCAAGAGTATTTTGCATTTTCTGAACATAATTCTACTTTTCCTCAAGAAAAAAGGAGAGCACACGCACACACGCCCATACGGACTACTAGCTTCATGTATAATCCAGCAAGAAGTCTCGCCTCAGAGAGACAGCCTATTTGTCTAAATGTTAAATGCTGGCGTCACACACACAGAACACACATACTCGTGTGTTTAGTAGCACTCACACACACACACACGTACACGTGGGCTTGAAAAATTTGCATATGTTAATTTTGTTTACATTTATAGCATGGCAAAAACAATTTGTACGCCAGTGGATTTTGATACCCATTACCCAAAGGGTATACTGGACTGATTGATCCCATAAGCAGTGAATTCTTTGCATTCGATATCTTTGTCTGTCTCTTCGTCAGTTTATAGGAACTCAATTCTGAAATTCAAAATCACTCAAACCGAGAAATGGATCGTATATATTAGAGCAAGCACATTCGTACTTCTATGCCAGCAAAATAAGTTTAGTTTATAGTATTCTCTACCAAAAATCGTATTATAGATCATATTATTCCATTTTCGAACCAAAACGTGGTATTCTACAGGATCCCCTGCTTTGGGATTAACGAATTTTCCATTTATATCCAGATAAAAGGATATCGTCTTGTCGGTAGAGCTAATTTCTTTCTGTTTCGCTGCTTTTGCAATTCACACCACACTCACATACTCAAACACACGGAGACACAACCGACGCATCCTACATCCTACAACCTACAGCTTTTGTTTACGGACCACACGACGCTTTATGGGTCCCACCTCTGTCCAGGCAGCCTTCCTGCCCCTCCTGCTCCAACCCACACGTGTGTCGAACATCTCAACTGTGTAATAAGCGAATATGGGTCGACAGCCAAAACAACTAAAAGAAACGAAGGCTGGCTACGGGGTCGAAGATTTTGATACCCTTCCATCAGTTCCATCAACAGCCAACCGATTTCGATTGAACAACTCCGAGGGGAAAAGGACATCGATTCGCCGGTTGACTGCTTCTATTTCTGCCATACAAGGGTATCCACAAGTGCGATACAATTCACTCGCTGCCTCGATGCCGGCGGCGGCAGCATTCGGCAACCGGCGGGCGACGCAATGACATCAGGAAACTTTTAAGTAGATGGCGCTAGCAGCTAATGCTGCTGACAGCGGTCTTAGCTCTGCTAATCTCACCCTGCACCCTGCACAACCACTCTCACGCCCACATATAACCCGCCATCCCACCATCCCACCACCCTCTCACACACACACGAGGAGCAGTAGGGTTGCGAGGCGAGGGTCATTAACTGGCGTACGTACAGGGTTTAAACTGTTGTGTAACGTTAGTGTTGGATAGCAAGAAGTTGAGAGAAGAGATATCGATTGCCGCTTGCTCGCAGGCATAAATAATAAATCAACTCCAGTCTAATGCAAGCCACACAAGAAATGTACGAGTACGAGTACGATTATATATGAGATACGTGTACAGTGTACAGGGTATGACAACTTTTAGGGGTTTCAGATGTTAAAGCAAAGGCTATACCATACCAAGATATACCCAAGATAAGCAGACGAGCCAGTCGGAGACTAAAACCCCGAAATAGCACAACTTTTTGGTCCCGTTCCTTATGCCTCTTCTTGGTATTGTACAGTCGTGGGTTAAACGTATATGACGGATCCCATCATCCTGTAACTTAGACCTTGGAAGGGATCCGTGAAAAAAGACAGGCCTTCAGATATAATTTCAACTTAATTGTAGATATTTTCTTAGAGCATACCTATCGAACATTCAGTGCCAAAATATCCCATTCCCATCCAGCCCGTACATTTTGTGAACCTAAATACGCTCTCAAAACCATAGACAAGCCTGTACGATCTGTGCCTGAATACCCTCTCCTGTATGTAACTCATATTCATGGAACGGAACGAACCACAATCCTCTTTCCAACCCACACACACTGTTATGCTTCTGCGGCCCTGTCGTTAGTTTTGCTTAGAGAAACAATCCCTATCGCATGGTGAAGTGTTCTTAAATTAGCTGACAGCATTTCCCGACAGTGATTGCCCCTGTTCGGCTTAAGTCGTCTTCAGTCTGGAGCCACTCAATGGAGCAGCGGAGATAAATATAAATATAGAACGCATGCTAATTACTCCCTTTTCCCTAAACCACTCTGTGGCCTCCGCCAAAGGACATTTATACTATATTTAGGAATATTTATTAGCATCATTTGTATGGGGACCTTCTAAATATGATGGAAATTAATGTATATGTTCTTTTAAATGTGTTCCTCTCAATGCGTTCAAAGCGTTTTATTTTTTTAAATGGATTAAATGGCTTAAGGCTGAATTTTATATTTTAACCCAACTTAATCCCACTTTTATTTTCGGAATTTCATAAATACTCATTGTAGAGACTTCAAAGAATCCCCAAATTAATTGAAAATTTTTCGAAATTCTTTTTGGAACTTCTGGTAAAGTGTTCTTTAATACGATTCTCAAGGGTTCGTCCCAGTTGAGTGGTTGGTTGGTTAATCCTAGCTACCGGTCACTATTCTCCCATCCATTCTTTATGCTTCATTTTGTGAATTTCCACTTTTATCCTTGAATATCAATATTCCTCGCACAAATTTCGCCTGCTCTCTCTTCAGTGTACTCGCAATTTGTAGATTTCATTAAGTGCCCCAAATGGAAAAGGCGCACAATTGCTTGGCTCATCTCAAGCTTCCTTTTACTTTCCTTTTCGTGCTCCCACTCAGAACGCCCCCACCCCCCGCTCCTGCCATCGTGGGGTCGTCTAGCCCCCAGTTACTTCCTCCTCAATTTCGGGCATAACTTAAGCTGAATAATACTTTAAGACAGGCCACGGCAGGCCAGAAGCTCAGCGCGGGAAAAAACGCACAAATTTAATTCGCATTTAGGTCGCATTTTTTTTGGCATTGAATGGAGTGAGAAATGGAAATTTCTGGCGACATAAATCAGAGCCACAAATTGATGCATAAATAAACCGAAAAACGAAAAGCGAAAAACAAAAAGGATGTCTAAAGGACTAGGAAACAACAACAACAGCAAATGTGAGCTAGGTAAAACGGATTTATTGAACAAATGTTAATTAAATGTTCTCAAAAATAGATTCGATTCGAAATGTAGACATCAGGATGTGTGGGCCGGTGGGGGGAGTGGCTAAAAATTTATGGTTTCGAGTTACACTGAAAGTTTTGAATTACTTCAGCAATATATTGGGGGATGTATTAGCAGCTGGAAAGCAGGACGGCAGGACAGCAGGACAGCAGGACTCACACATATTTCAGAAGCTAGCTGCTTGTCACGTGCTCAATCGATTGGAAA